TCCAATCAATTAGTTTGAGAAAATTTGAAAACGATCCATGTCTAAAATTAAAGTCCTTGGGTTTACTAAACATTATCTCCTTAGGGTTTAAATTCCTTTATTCAAAACACAATCAATTGAATTTTTTGGGTTCATCGGTGGAGATGGTGTTGGTGGCGGAGATGTTTTGTGAGTCGGAGACGAAGACGATGGTGGTGATGGACTTGATGGAGATGATGTTAATGAAGCGACGAAGACGATAAGAAGCGATGGTTATGGTCGGAAAAGTGAATAGTAATGGAGACGGTGAGAAACGAGCAAAGACGATGGAAAGAGCGAGCAAAGATGATGGATTCGGTGAGAACCGAGTACGACAAAGACGGTGAGAAACAGGGGTAAAAGCGTCATTTGCCTCTCTCCAAAAATGCCTAAATACGATACCACGGATAAGAATGCCCAATTTCAAAGTTTTTGAGGAACAAATGCCCATTTAGACAATAACCCCATTATAAATTTATAACCCCCTTTTTTTGTTCTTTTTCAAGTTGGTGATAAAGCTAGGGTTTTGAAAAAATAGTGTGTCCTTATTAGGTGTCTTTACGAAACTTTGAGCCAGTTGGTTGGATGGGAGTCCTCTCTTGTCCTCTGTTTCATGCCCTCTCCCGTCTTGTAAGTTGTTACTGTTTTAATAAATTATTCCTAAGTTTTTGGACATATTTGAGTCCATATAAACTAGTACATCATGTACTTTATATTAATTTATTATTTATAAAAATACGAATTTTAATATATGAAATCAACGGTGGAGGGTATATGAATCGAACCATTGCCTATTCGAGAAAACAAATTAAGAAATAAAGCAACAACCTAATAATAATGGATATGAAACTATTTTAAGAGTGTTGTTGCTAAAATACAAGACGAAATTTCGTTAGTTTTCAGTTCTTATTAATTAACATATATTAAGCCGACTCTATTGAACTAAAAATCTATTGATTTATTTTTAGATTTAGCTAAGGCATATATACACCTACATTTGAAATTCATATAAGGTTAGTATATTTGGTACTATATACTTGCTCTTTGTCTAGTTACTGTTTTACTACAGGTGGAAATCAAATTAAATTAGCATTGTTTTGGTCAAAAGAAGAAGTTTAGTTTATATGATAACGAATTCGATAGGTAAGTCAACATATAGTGAATGCCAACCCATGACATCAATGCTCACATTGCTATTTATTTCCTTTTACTCTTTTATGGTAACGTAAAGCCAAAATTTATTTATTTATTCTTGTAGAAAAATAGTCATTAATAAGAAATTTATATTAACATCAATATAGTCGTCGTATTCATGTTTTTATTGTGCATGTGCGTTTGATGCGACATCTCCTTCAATATTAATTAACTAATAATACATGCATGAACATGTGTTTGAGAATTTGTGATCATGATACGGGGTGCTTCATGCATCATCATGATTTTTCATCATGATCATCATACATGTTAGTTTCAAAGTTCCAACTTTCTTTTCTTGGAAAGTTACATTCGAGTTCGAGGAAACTAGTGGATTTATAGATAAATCATATAAAAGTAACTAATAAAGCTTTCAACACGCTCAAAAATTTCATTCTCTTTAGCCTTTTTTCTTAAAATAAAATATTGTCTGGAATATTTTTTTGTAGGAAACCTTTTTTCACTTTACAAAAATAAAAAAGTTGATCCGTTAATTTAGCTATAGTTGTCGAAAAGTAAACTTGATAAGCAGCTTTCTTTGTATTCCAAATTACATCGTAGTTTTTAAATTGAGACTGAACACACACACACACACACACACACACAAAAAAACTAAACATAGTGGTGGGTTAGTAGACATAGTCATTTCGATTTACAAAGTTCCACTACTAATTCTACATTTTGAAGATTCATTCACATTGTTTATACTTTATAACATGGTTAATTTGTATAATCGGACATGGGTAGGAAATAAATTAAATAGATTAGTTGAAAATGGTAAAGCAAGAAAGAATGTTATAATCCAAAGGAACTCACTAAATCAATTATTGTTTGCTGATATAAGAAGAGTTTGGACGAGAGAAATAAGAAAATAGTTTACGAAGAAGACACATGATTTTCCTATTTACATCTTTGTATCAATAATTAAAGTTAGTTGCAAAACAAGAGGTCGTTATTCATGATACATTTTGGTTAATGAAATATTTTACAAAATTCAAATGGATTAGTTATGATAATATTAAATTAAATTAAGGATTAAAATGATTCCCTTTGTTTTTTTTGTTGCATAGGCTTGATGATTGTCGTTGGTTCTTACCACGTGGGCTTTAGTAGGGCATGCCAAGAAAAGTGGACCAAAAGACCATAAAAAAAAAGATAAAAAGATAAAAGAAAAAAAGGAGAAGAACAAAAAAAAGATAAAGAAAAAGGGGAAAATAAAAGAGAAAAAACACATTGGAAGATGTTATAGATTTATAATGCAAATCATAATTCGGATAAAACAAAAATAAACCGAAACTGTGGCCAGAATATGCGAGGATTCTTTATTCCATGCATATATAATTTGTTGTTTTCATGAAGCACTTTCTTCCTATACATCATCATTTTACATGCACTACTATGCCAAAATTAAATTACTATACTTTTACCAAATCCAAGCTAGAACATATAACATATTCATTTACATGGTACATTGAAACCCAAACTAATTAGTATAAAACAAAGTTACACATTTAAACTCAATTTCGATTTATAAGAAGTACCAACAAGTGGATTGATCAAGAACCAAAAGTTTTAGGCACATGTTTGAAGATTATCATTGCTGAAAGCATATCTATATCAAGCTACATGTTTGAATCTTACCAATTATCCTCTCATAAATAACTAACACGGATTAAAAGAAAGTAACTTATGATACATTGATACTATATATTTTGATTGAATCCCATATTTTGTAGTGTGTAAAACTTTTCTCCATCTACATTTTGAAGATAGTGTCCAACAATTTTGAATAGAATGCAACTTCTTTTTCTTTTTTTTTAATAAATATTCGTTCGAGTGTTGCTTTCCTTTGATATGAATAGTAAAAATGTTTTTAAATTTCAATCTTAAAAATCAATTTATAATAAAGAAAACTTATGGCCTTGCAAAAAACTTATTTGATATGTCTCTATTTCCAAATGTTTTCAATATGATATGTCTCAAATTGACTCATTGATCTTGAGTTTAGTCCTATTTGTTGGACCATATAGAGCTTTGGATTTGTTGGACTATGATGACATAAAAGTTTACTAAGTTCCATTTCATAGCCATTTAGTTACGGAATGAAAAACACATTACAATATTAGAGATCCTAATATCATCCATCATGCCAATCCAGTGGTCAATAAAGAAATAATTTCAATAGATTTGATTCATTCAAATTATCGATTGAACTATCATCATTTCTAAACAAATTTGATCAATGTCTATAGACATAAAAACTCATAAGTATCCAAAACATAGGCTCTATTCACAACAACACCTTCTTGCACAAGGAGGTAATAATGAGGTCCACAACAATGAAAAAGGAAAAAGAGAAAGACATTTAGCCTTTCTAGGAGTCAATGCTTTGCCTTCTTTTTTTTCTTTCCTCATCTTCTCATTTTTTTTCTCAGCTTTGGTACTTTGTGAAATTTCTATTTGATTTGATTTCTTCTATACACTAATTTCCAAACTTCTTTTGCAATGAGTGAATGATGATAAGGTCGAAGAACTTTCTTCTTCCTTGGAAAACAAATTTCAAAATCCAATATGAAAACATTAATTTTCTAACGCGGAGACATAACCCATTTGACGGTTTCGTTGAATCTTCCTCACAGACCAGACGAGTAAAGTTGACTTGACATATTACAGGTCAATTAACTCAAGTCATTGGTTAGAGTTTTTAGTTGGGTTTCTCTATTTATGATTTTAGATGAAATAAGCTATAAATAATTTCAATTTTTTTTTGTTTAAGTTCAATTAGCCAGAGATAAATCTAACTGTAATTTTTTTTAGTCATGACGAAATTTTGTTTTTGGGGGCAAACATTACAATATAAATTCAAAATACACATATCTAACTTACAAAATTGCATAAGGCATTTGGGAAAATTAATTACAGAGTTTAAGAAATGATGAAGATCTTTCTGATACATCTCATCGAGTGAACATTCCATCTACTAGGAGATCTTCAACTTCCAAGTCGAATCAGCTTTTCTTCTGTTTACAGGAATAACTATTCAACTTGTATACTCGTGAATACCTACATTAATTCTACAGTCTATCTACAACATCAAATAGAACACAAAAGCTGATAGAATTTAATGGATATGACCTATCAATATCATGTTCATCATCATGAATGAGTTTCTTACTTACATATGCGTGGATTCTCAAGACTGTAGACTGCAACAAATATGCAAAGCACATGTGAAAAAAGTTGCTTGAACTACAACAATAAAACCAAACATTTTCATTCAAAAAACAATAAAACCAAATTAATGTAGCGTCTTGGTTTAGAGTTCCCAAAACGTTTCCTAAAACCAACCTAGTAGACAAGAAATGCCAAGCTATAGCCCAGAAATTATCTATAAATAACACTTATACCTCAATTTTTTGTTTATGTTTACTGATTTTTTTTTTTCTTTCTCAAATGAACTAAATAAGATTATTTTGTTGATTGCAAAAGACGTTTGCAAAAACAGGCCTTAGTCCGAATCATTGGAAGAATAACAGACGACCTAAGAAAAAGCCTTGGGCTTACAATTCTTCACTTCTGGATCTTCACCAGCTACTATTGGGCCTTTGATATTTAAAGCCCATATAAAAGAAGCACAATATTCGGGACCGACCAAAGTGAAGTAGGTGTGTTGTGTTCTGATACGCAACTGAAAATCTAAGAAAGCAAACTCAGTGTCACCGTACACGTGGCACACCCAGAACAATCGTCTCTTATAAATACCGATTCTTCCGCCTCGCGTCAACAGAAACCACCATTAACCCTAATTTTTGCCGAACTCTGTCTTCTGCTGAAAACCCTAGATCTACAGATCTCCCGAATCTCTCAGGTAAATTTTTTACTATTTCCTCTTCCACGATTTGTTGATTCCACGATCTCTATCGTATTCTCCATGGTTTCGATTTGATTTTTTTGTTTCTCAGGGAGATATTTGAAGATGGTGTCTGACGCTAGCAAGAAGAAGGCAGCTCAGAAGAAAGCCGCCGCCGCCGCTAAAAGAGGTGGTAAAGCTGCTGCTTCTTCTAAATCCGCCGCTACTTCTTCCAATGGAGTTGATAGCTTGTCGAGCGGTGTCGACGCTCTTCAAATTTCTGATCGGACTTGTACCGGAGTTCTCTGTTCTCATCCCCAATCTAGGGATATTCGAGTAAGTCCTTGTATCTAGTTTCTGTGATTTGATTTGGAAATTTAGATTTGTTGATGGTTTGTGTCCTTTGATCTGTGAAATCATTAGTTTGATTGCATATATTATGTATCCTCTGTTTTTTGATGGAATTGGTTTATAATCTGTTTGCAGATAGAATCTCTGTCTGTGACGTTTCATGGTTATGACCTTATTGTTGATTCAATGTTGGAGCTTAACTATGGAAGGCGTTATGGTCTGCTTGGGTTGAATGGTTGTGGAAAGTCCACTCTTTTAACGGCAATCGGACGCAGAGAGATACCGATTCCGGATCATATGGATATCTATCATCTTTCTCATGAGATTGAAGCTACTGACATGTCTTCCCTTGAGGCTGTTGTTAGCTGTGATGAAGAGAGGTTGAGGTTGGAGAAGGAAGTTGAAATTCTTGTTGAGCAGGTTTGTGTCAATCAATACTAGATTGGATTCTAAATTGAGCTTTATATTCGTTCTTGATGCTTATTATGGTTGTTTTTATCAGGATGCTGGTGGCGAGCGTCTTGAATCTATCTATGAGAGGTTAGAAGCCATGGATGCTGCAACCGCTGAGAAGCGTGCTGCTGAAATTCTGTTTGGACTTGGTTTCGACAAGGAAATGCAAGCGAAGAAGACAAAAGATTTTTCTGGTGGTTGGAGGATGAGAATTGCATTAGCAAGAGCTCTTTTCATTATGCCAACTATCCTTTTGCTTGATGAGCCGACAAATCATTTAGGTTTGTGATCTTTCTTCTTTGCACTTGCTTCAGATGGTTTTCCTTAGTGTTGTGACTCTAATTTTGTTGTCTCCTGAAACAGATTTGGAAGCTTGTGTGTGGTTAGAAGAGAGCCTGAAGAATTTTGATCGCATCCTTGTTGTGGTATCACACTCGCAGGATTTCTTGAATGGAGTTTGTACTAACATCATCCACATGCAGAGCAAGCAGCTCAAGTACTACACTGGTAACTTTGATCAGTATTGCCAGACTCGTTCCGAGCTAGAAGAGAACCAGATGAAACAATACAGATGGGAGCAGGAGCAGATTTCTCACATGAAGGAGTACATTGCTAGGTTTGGTCACGGTTCAGCCAAACTTGCTCGTCAAGCTCAGAGTAAGGAGAAAACATTGGCAAAGATGGAGAGAGGTGGGCTCACTGAAAAGGTTGCCAGAGACAGCGTTCTCGTCTTCCGTTTTGCTGATGTTGGGAAGCTTCCACCGCCAGTGCTTCAGTTTGTGGAAGTGTCTTTTGGGTACACACCGGACTATCTCATATACAAAAACATTGACTTTGGTGTCGACTTGGACTCTAGGGTCGCTCTTGTGGGACCTAATGGAGCTGGAAAGAGTACACTTTTGAAGCTCATGACTGGTGAACTGCACCCAACTGAAGGAATGGTGCGACGTCACAACCACTTGAAGATTGCTCAGTACCATCAGCATCTGGCTGAGAAGCTTGACCTGGAATTGCCTGCACTTCTCTACATGATGAGGGAGTTCCCGGGTACCGAAGAGGAGAAAATGAGAGCTGCGATAGGTAGATTCGGTCTTACTGGTAAGGCTCAGGTAATGCCTATGAAGAATCTATCTGATGGACAAAGGAGCAGAGTGATCTTTGCGTGGTTAGCTTATAAGCAGCCTAACATGCTTCTACTGGACGAGCCTACTAACCATTTGGATATCGAGACAATTGACTCGCTCGCTGAGGCATTGAACGAGTGGGATGGTGGTCTTGTTCTGGTGAGTCACGACTTCAGGCTGATCAACCAAGTGGCGCATGAGATATGGGTTTGTGAGAAACAATGCATAACTAAATGGAACGGTGACATTATGGACTTCAAGAGGCACCTCAAGGCTAAAGCCGGACTTGAAGATTGAAGATAAAGGTCGAGCCGTCTTTCTCTTGATGGAAAAAGGAAAAGACTCAGATTGGGTCATGCCGAGAGATAGGGAAGGATTTGGTTTTTTGATGGTTTTGGGAATGGTTTTTAACGAGTTCTGAAGCCACACTTGAGAGACAGAGAAACCATACTCAGTAATCTCTGCATTTCTTAAGCATTAAGAGGTCAGAGATTCTTTCTATATTAGTATTATCATGTCTTTTTTTTTTGTTATTGTTGTTGAACGTTTTTTTGAAGGCCAAACAGAGAGAGAAAGTAATATTTTTGGTGGTATTTGTAGGATTTTTTTTTCTTTTTTTAAGACTGAGATGTTGACGATTATGGTATTTATATTTAATATTAAAGTGAGAATCTTCTCATAATTATATTCGTATATTCGTTGGAAAAGTATCCGAATATTCCATCTTTATGTTGATTCCAGTGATGGAATCTTGATTCAATTACAGAATTGCACTGATAATTTCACTAACGTTTTGGCTCTTCACAAAATTCTTTCAACGATTACTCATTCAATTGCTTCTTCAGTGGTCTATGTTCATAAAGTTTTCTTCATGTAGACTCTTAGCATTTCACGCATCTTTAACAGATACTTTTTTTTCTTTTCGCTTGACAGAAATCTGATTGATGCAGAAAAAGAATTGTTGAACAATTCTGCCTTTAATCGAAACAAACATTACAATAATTTATACTAACAAGCTCATCGAACCTTACTCGTCAAAGCAAGATCTTACTCGGTACATATCTCATATATGAGTGGAATTAAGAAACTATTAAAAGGGATTTAATGTACAAGGAAAAAATCTCTTGTAAGTTTGTCTTCAAACATGACTTGGAGTTGCGTTCGCCGGCGTTGGAATATCAGTCAAAGCTACTTTTCGGCCTCTCTCTGACCGACTATTCTCAGCAAATTTGATGCTTCCTTCGTGCAATCCTTGTTGTTTCTCGTTCTCCGTCCACTCAGAACTGTAATAATATTCTTCCTGCGATCTTTCTCCATCGCTCGACGGTCTTAAAAACATGCTTCCCCATTGCGGAAAATGTATAAACGCAACCGGGATCGTGCACAAAACTGCCATAACGCCCATCAACGAGAGTCCTTCCGCTGTACTAAACCTCGATGATGAGAAGAAAAGCAGTTGAGTCAAACCGGACCCAAAGTTTCCTCCTGCGCCGGTTAGTCCCGATATGAGCCCTAGAGAGCGACGTGAAACAAAAGGTGCAACCCCAAAGAGGGCTCCACAAGCTGCTTGTGTACCGATTGAGAAGAGCATCATTGCTAAGATTGCTATGGGAAGTGAACTAGCACGACCTAGCCAGATACAGAAAAGAGCTCCTACGGTTTGAAAGATCCATAAGGTCCATAACCGGCCTCTCATGCCAAATATCCGAGCCGCTACATCAGAGGCGTAGCCACCGAAGGGACGGGCGATGAAGTTAGCCATTCCGAAGCTAGCTGCTACTATACCAGCTGTTTGAAGCTTAAGGTTAAACCTGATATATACGTAGATAACAAGAAACCAATGGTTATTACCTTTTGCTAGAAGTAAGTAAGATCATCAGTTGGATTTAACGTATAAGAAATCAAACCTGTCGTAGAAATATCCGGAGATAACGTTGTTGATAGTTAATTCAATTCCCATGGAAGATCCATAAAGAACGAATAAAATCCATGTTCTGTAGTTCTTCACAGCAAACCAGAAAACCTATAACAAGAAAAACCTTTAGACACTAGAAATTTATTTAACTAAATAAACGAAATAAAACAGTGCTAATGATTATTTAATTTGTATCAAATTTGTTGCTAACTATTAGTTATTATTTTGTCATTGGTTTAGGCAACTTAATCGCAAGTAGCAATTATTTTTCTGAGTAGTTTGTAACTTTGCATCAATGCTAATTTTGAAAGATAGTCACAAAGTTTGCTACGACTAAAATTTATTGCAAAATTTCAAGACTATGTTTAATGTTTGCAAGATTCTTTTAATGAGATCCAAATATATTGTTCATGATCTGGATTTGTTATATAATTAAAGGTGAAAAGTACCTTGGAGAATTTGTCTTTAGAGACTTGACCTCTCTTCTGAAGGGTACTTAGGTTACCGTCAGGGAGATCTTGGCCGAGACTGAGGACGAGAATGCCCATAACAACTTGAAGAAATCCGGGAACGAAGAAAGCTATGCGCCACGCCATGAACGGAGTGGCTCCTGCGAGTTTAATGACGTGGAAGACCATCGGCATGAGGAGTTGAGTCACTCCACCGCCCATATCACCCCACCCGCCGGCACAGCCATTCACTAGTCCTATGATCTTACCGTTGAACATGACGCTGGTCCAATACTGGCACGACACAAACGTGGCGAGGCAGAATCCGATCATGAACCGGACGCCTAAGTATCCGCTGGGGCCACCCACAAACGACATTGAGAAGACGGTTGGAGCTGTTAGCATGAGGGAGAAGGCAGTCCCATACCGCGCACCAAGGAGATCGCAAACCGCTCCCATGGCTAACCTTGAGAAAATGGCGCCAGAGACCGAGGCGACTCCGGCATTCCCAATGTCGGTTTTGGTGAGGTCAAGGTTGTCGCGGATGATGGGGACTAATGGTGCGGCCGCGAAGGTTGAGATGAAGCAAGTGAAGAATGAGAGCCATCCTAAGTGAAAGGCTCTCATGTGAGGTTTTGCAAATGAGAGTGGGTTGAACACTTTGGCACGATGTTCAGAATCAACGGGAAGGGCGAATTTAGCTGTTGGGTCGTCGGATTGGACGGTTTGAGACGAAGCATCGACGGAGAAAGAGAAGACTTGTTCTCTTGCTGTTACTCCATGCAAGGAGGTTCCAATGGAGCCTTCTTCATTAGAATGGTTGTGAGCCATTTGAAGGTGGTAGAGAGATGAAAGACTCTGAGTGGGGGAGAAGGTTTAATTGTCTTTGTTGTGTTTTGGTGTAAGTTGGAGATTTGAGTAATGTAAGTATATATAGAGAGAGAGCTAGAAGTGATACCGATATCATATGGTGGGTAGAGTTAGGTTGGTCCAATAATGAGATTTGAATAGTATAAGAAAAGTTAATAAGGACTTTACCAATTTGGGAAAAGTTTATTATTATTAGCTGATAACAACATTTAGTACATATATGACTTGTAATTTTGATTAATAATGGCAGAAAATTATAGGCTCTGACTGGTTGCATTAATAGAAAAAAAAAAGTAAAGGAAGTGAGAAGATTTCCTTCATCTAATATTAAGAGGAATGAAGTTTTCTTCCAAAAAAAAAAGAAATTTTTTGATAACAATAATGAAAAATTATGGATCCAGAAAAAGTTAGGAAAAAAAAAATTCTTCTACAAAATGCACCAGTCGAGCCATTATTGAATGTGAGAACTAAACATACTATTCTTCTTGCATAATGCAGCTACGAATACGTGCTTAACTATTATTTAAGTACGTTTCATACGTGTACCACATATGTGATGCAAGTGTTATTAAGAGCAGAGCCGTCCCTGTGTAATTGGTGGCCACAAGCAGCAAAACTTTTTTGGCCAGATATGGGTATCGATGACCTAAAAAAAAAAGAAAAAAAGATTTCCCCCTTATAAGAATCGAACCCTTGACCTCATTCACTCAAACATCACACATTTACCAGCAGAACTAACGAAGATATTAGTTAAATTACGGCCGATTTAATTGATGTATATTTGGTGGCCGCAAGCCTGAGCTTTGCTTGCTTGTAGTCAAGGCCGGCTCTGATTAAGAGCATTGCGGCTTTTTTTAAGGGGGTGATCCTGATTTTACCACCGACTAACTTTTTTAGAGATGAGTATAGCCGTGAAAATCTACAAATACACTTGTAAATCAATTTGGGCTATTAGCAGCCTGGCAGGTTATACATTAACTAAAGTAAATGATTTTTGTGGAATTTCACTAAAATGGCGATAGAGATACGAACGTTGACAGTTGGCATTGGGAATAAGCTAAAAAGCCTAAGAGGCCGTACGTATCAATGAAGGCAAAAAGCGTCAAAATGTCTTTAATAATTTTTAATTTGTCTCTTGAGCATTCCATGTGGTCGACTCATCACCAAATGAAATACTATTGTTATCTTAAAATAGTTTACTACAAAAATGCTCTAACTTTTGTGAAATTGATGTGAACATATTGTCTAGCTCATGGGTAATGGGTTATTATATAACTTTCCGCCTATGATATTCGCATATCCTCACTATGAAACCAAATGATAAGTTGACTTTCTTAAAGTTTACTTAATCTTGTATCATCGTCTTAATATATAAGCTCTAAAGTCTAAACATAGTTCTTTAATAAAATTGATTTCTAAGTGTCGTTATATCCGCAAATGCTTAAACGAACTATTCTATCGAAAATTGTTGCTGATATATTTGTAAACTAGAGATATCTTGTATTGTCTGCTATCATCAATTATTCCGTAGAATAGTCTTATATTTTGTTTTGATCGCTCTATACTTATCACATTTTATTTTGGCACTAAAGATTTTAAACAGTAGCTAAAGTCTTTGAAAACGTATTAAAAGTTTTACAGGTTTTAGAATTAACCATCATTAAAAAGGTGAAATCTTTTCTTTTTGTAATGGTTTTAGCTTTATATATATATATATATATATATATATATATATATATATATTGTTTTTACATGTAGGGAAGGCAACTAGAAAAGTCCAATGTTTATAGGTTTAAAAATTTCAAAAATTGTGGAAAGGTCAAACAAAAAAATGTGTCAAACAATTTTTCATTACAGGAGTAATTGGCTCATTGACTTCTCAAGTTTATTTAATGTTTAAGGCTCAACTTGGTAAACTTCTAAGTTTCATGTTGTATATGTGAAACAAATAATGCAATAGAGTCGATCTATTTCTTCGCCAAATTACCATAATAAAACTTAATTATGTGGTTGATCAAATAAAAAACTTAATTATCTATTATTCATTAAATAAATAAAAAACTTAAACAGACAAAACCAACAATTTTGAGAATTTCTTAACATGGCACTAGAAATTAGCCTTTCGTTATAAAGATAGTGAACTTCTATTGGCCTAATTATGGAGAAGCTCATAAAATATATATATCAGTTTTTGTCTTTTCGTTTTGTTCGTCCCGTTCAGGTTAACATTG